CCGCGGCGGACCGTGCGGGCTCCGGCACTCGAGACGGCCATGGAGATTGTATTAGTTGCAACGACGGAAGGGAAGAGGTAGGGTTAGGGTTTTGATTTGAGATCCACGCGATTCGATTCCTATTTTGAAAGGCTAACTTTTTTTCGGGGTTTTTTTAATTATTCTTTGTCAGAACCGAAAGGTTTTGGGGCTGAGGGGGCAAAACCACGGCCAGGAGAGAGAGCATCCATTGGAGAGGGACATGAGCAGCGTATAATATATGTGTGCATATAAAAAATAACGGTGATGATTGGGTAAAGAATGTGTGAATTGTGTTAATAATGGGGGGTGGGATTGGTTTATTATTATTGGATGTGATTTAAAGAGGATGAGGGGAGTGGGAGTCCTTCCGAACGTAACGTGTAGGTAGGACGACCCAGAGGACAGTGGCGGGTCAATTTGGGGGTGGTTGTCTGAATTGAGCGGGGGCTTGTCTCGGCCACGTCTAGTTTGAATACATAATGTTAGCCACGTATTCTAGCTTTAAGTAGGAAGGGATTTTAGAAGATTTGGATCCTTTCCGTTACAAAAAAAAAAACTAGTATGTCGAGTGTACGCCATGCGTGTATAAATAACACATTTGTGCAAGAAAATCGTTGGCATTGTTATATAGAGTAGGCAATAGGAAATTGCCACCATATATTATCGTTTGATCAATATTATCATGAAAATAGTTTTAAGTTATGGTGAACTATACTAAACTCCTATGAATTTTTAGCATATTGCAGTAAAAACCCTATGAACTTTCAAAATCACTCTAAACCCCCAATAATATTTGCAAAAAATCCTAATATCTTTCGGGTAAATTACAATAGACCAACAATAACTTTCAATTATGTTGTTTTCTGATTCTAATTTATGAGGGTTATCTGCAAAATGCAGAAAGATATTTGGGTTTAGTGTGATTTTCAAAGTTCATAGGGGTCTACTGCAAAACACTAAAAGTTCATGAAGGTTCAGTGTAGTTCCCCCTTTAAGTTATATGCAACATTCAGATTGAAAAGTACTAAAATAACTAATTTCAAATCTTAAATTTTATTGGCTGTGAGAGATTGAATATTAGATAGGAAATACCTGAAAGCATTACGTTATATACAATTGAATGAGAATTTTTAAATGTGCATAGTTATACAATTTTTTTTTTTTTTGAAAAATGCATGAAACCTACCTATAAAAAGTCCTATTATTAGAGGTAGAGCTTCTGCTGAATCTTGCGAATGGAGGATGAATGCAGAATGGAGAACAAAGAGATTGGTTTTGATTTATTTTAATTTAGATTTAAAATGTGGTGTGGGGAATGTTGGTGGGGGATATCTAACATGGGTAAGTGGGAAGTTAAGGGACGAGAAGATGTGGCTCATGTGTGTGTGTAAAATATTTGCCCATTTATAAATGTTTTTAAAACCTTTAAGCTTCAAGGACATCATTGGGTTTACAACAAATGGGACCAAGTAAGGGTAATACACCAAAAAAATGGTCTAAAATGATGCCTCCTCTTACTAAGTAGTAATAGCAAGTGGGGGAGAAGACCAATACATTAATTATAGTCTTTAATTTGTTTAGTAGATAATTATGATTCATTCAAAATCTAACAATCATCATGCCTTTGTGATTTGCACTCATTCCCTTAATTACATGCAAAAGTAAACCACATACGTTCATCAAGTAAAGTAACGATTGTGATATAATAGTGGTCTCTTTAATGCTTTTCCTTGGCGGAGAGAATCTAAATTCCAAGTAAATGCCACTGCGCGTGCAATGGAAGGGATGAGGGCGACGGGAAATGAATAAAAATGAAAATTTATTTTGTTTGTATTTATATATACAATAAATACAAGACCGTAGCATACCTCCACAGAGTGGTGTGGCGGGAGGATTATGCAATAGAACTCAGATTTATTGGGTGGAAATGATGGCTAAGTTCAAATTAATGCAAGCAACCAAACGCTTTCCAAGAGGAGTTGTTTTTAGCTCCCTCCTGAGTTTTAAGGCTTCCATGGTAGGACAAATTTTCTAAACCAACCTATTTGGACTTTTATTCCCAAAAAACGATCCCATTCAAAAATAATTGCAAAAACCGACCTGGTTTCAGCCTCAGTGCTGAAACCAGGTCGGTTTTTGAAAAAAACTCTCCGAAACTTCACGGGAGTTGAACTCCCGTGAAGTTTCGTAGTTCAAAAAACTTCACGGGAGTTCAACTCCCGTGAAGTTTCGGAGAGTTTTTTTCAAAAACCGACCTGGTTTCAGCGCTGAGGCTGAAACCAGGTCGGTTTCTCTAAATAAATGTGAAACGGGTCTTTTTTTGGGAATAAAAGTCCAAATAGGTTGGTTTTCAAAATTTGTCCTTCCATGGTAGGAGGGTTCGCACACAGAAAACTCGTCGAATTGGATCCAAGTCGAAGATCAGCTGAAACTCAAGTTAGTGATTTACTGATAAGCCATTGTTTGGTTGGTTTCTCAGAAACCAACAAATCAAGAAACCTGACAAAGAAACCTTCTACAAAGGAAAATGATAGGGGCACACTCTCAACCACAACTCTAACCACACACCCTCTCTCATTTTGCTACAGTGCACCGGGCCCCACATGAGATTTTAAATTTTTAAAATCCCATGTGAGCCCCGGTGCACTGTAGCAAATGAGAGAGAGTGTGTGGTTGAAGTTGTGGTAGGGTGTGTGGTTGAAGTTGTGGTTGGGGGTGTGTCTCTAGTGCCAAGTCTCAAGTGATTTCCTGCCACCTCACTCTCCCTATTGGTTTCACTTGGCTTCAAAGTGAGAATCAGACTGAAGAAAAAGAAATTGTACGGAAATAGGTTTATTATAATATTTTTTCCTTGTTTTCTGACCAACCAAACAGGTAAGAGGACATGTTGTGAAACTAAATGCTTGTTATGTGAAATGTAAACCAAGTTCCCGTATTCTCTTCTAGAGTGGTATGGTCCGTATGGATCTCAATTATATTCTCCGGAGGGAGCCCCAAATTTTGGGGAGGAGAGGTTTTCTCTACATCTTCTTACTAATAATTGATGGTAATAGCATATATATTCTATAAGATTTTATGATATATGCGGTTAAGTCTATTCTGTTTCATGCATTCTCAGACTTAAACAAAATGTAAATAGTAAAATAATCTAGATAAAATTTGTCATAACTAAAAAGTAGTCTAAATTGATAATTCAAAATAAATAAATTAAGAGATGTTATGATATCAATTAATCTAAGTGTTAATTCTCCTCTTGGAGTCGATACGTGTCGCATGTCAGCATTAATCAATCACACCCGCTCACCCTCACCAAGGGCGACTCGGGTAGCCTTGACACTCCACTCCTCCTGAGCCAAGCCGAGTCGAGATCAGCTCCCACTCGATCTCATCAATCAAATCGACCACACTTATTCACTCAGAGCTGGGTCAACATCTTGCAAGGCCGACTAAAGAGACGATACTTGTCGTCCTTCTCTCAGAGCCGAGTCAAGAGGCAGTTCGACCTCGAACTCCGTAGCGACAACTGTCTTTCATCATCATCGTGAGTGCCACGAGTCTCCATGACTCATCACCCCCCATACCTTCTCAATCTCCACCACATCCAATCAAGGATGACTCGTCGCATATACAGTCGACACATGTCTTGCTCCACTCTAGATCAGACATGATCAGAGCCCAAACGACTCGATCCGCTCCTGCGGTTGACTCCATAGGCCGACAACGTAGGTGACAAACTCGAGAGGTGATACTTATCGACCTCTTCTCCAGGTCGAGCCCTCAAGACTTCACACTCGACGTGATATATCAGCCAACAACTTGCCTAACCGACTAAAAGGCGATGCTTGTCGGCCTTCAGCCGGACGACCAAAGAGGCGGTGTATCCTCAAAACCTCCACCAACAACTAGTCACCATCACATTAAATGCACAGTCAAAGTCATCATTGCTCTAGCCCCCATAGTCTTCATAACTCACCAGACCCAATCAGCACCAAGCAGCTGCTGTCACTTTGCACTAACCACCTGGATAACCCATGCCACCCACGGTCGACACTTGTCACCTGTCTGCTGAGTCAGCTGCCTGCATGGACTTGGCCACAATTACATATTTATCCCTATTAGCTAGGTATATATATATGGGCTCATTGCCTACTAGCGAGAGGGGAGACCAGAGGAAGCCCCCAATGGGGCCATAGGTATGCAACTTCTGCATATTTAGAACTATTTTCAGTTCATTACTCAAGCTCAAATTTTGACTTGATCGTTAGAGGAACCACCGGAGAACCCAACTTCGGTTCTCTAACGAGTATTATTGTGCAACTCTCTTATATAGACAAGGGACCAGACTTCAAAAGAGATGAGGGAGCCCACATCACCTCTATCGACTTTAAGCCCCCTTGCTAAACTCGAGATTACCCCGCTAATCTCACTGTTGGATCTCAGGCCATCAACAAGAGTACACGTAGCAAATAAAGAGACTAATTTGAAACAGCTTATAAGAATTGATGGCTCTAGTAGTAATTTTTAATAATCTGGGGGACTAATACAAATTTAGGTAAGAATTAAGGATTCTAATAGACTTTAACTTACATAAAACTTAAGATTGAAAGGATGTGAGCATCGTCCGTTTTCTATAACAGGCTGTAGCCCAAAAAGCCTTCCCAATAAAATCGGACCCAGACAAACTTGCTCCATATGGGCCAAATTCTCGCCAAAAGAATAGAGCGCAAAGCGAACACGAATATCAAAGCATTTTCTTCTCAAGATTTACCTGCCACCGAGTCAAATCAATGTCCTCAGAGCCAAAACCCCCTTGAATCTCAACGGCGAACAAGAAGATGATCCTCTACCATGGCGACATTTCGCACGCCCGCCTCATCGACCGCCGCCGCCGCCGCCTGCTACTTCTAACCCACGGTCTCTCTCCCTTCTCACCATCGATGCGAATCGCCGCGGCAAGAAATCTCGGCACGTCGGCCGACGAAGGCCCGGCGAGGATCTCGCCCTCTCCTCCGCCCGATGTCGTCGACATACCATCTTCCGATTACTGCATCGTCGGATGATGCACCGGCGAGAGGAGAGATCAAGAAGCCGGCGATCTGCACCGCCGATGAAATCCATTACGTGCCTGTGCCGGGGACCGAGTGGAAGATCGCGCTCTGGCGGTATCTTCCGCCTCCTGAGGTGATAAAGATCAAGAAGAATTTTAAGAATTTTTTTTTTCCTTTTTTTTGTTGTGATTTTTTTATTTGGGAGATTGGTGGATTGAATGTAGGCGCCAAAGAGGAATCATCCTTTGATGCTGCTCTCGGGAGTGGGGACAAACGCCATTGGATTTGATCTCTCGCCTGGAGTAAGATATTCTGTTCTTTTAAGCAATGAGGATGAATTTCCCCTTTTTAACTCTTTTTTATTCTGTTTTGTTAATGCGCGAAGTTACATCATCATGATTGATGTAAGAATGGAATATGACTAGTTTGAGGTTAGGAGTAAGTTTTTTTTTTCTTATTAAAAAAATTGCTAATAAATGATTCAAATGATGAAATTTCACTTGAAGAAGTAGAAGTTAAGCATGATGAGAGAATTCATAACTACTGTTTGTTACTACATGCATACATTTAACTATGAAGTCGCTTCTATTTGTTGAATACCTATGGCTACTGCTCAGCTGATAAATTTAACTATAAGTTTTTAGAACTGTGTACAAGCAAATTGTTTATGAAATGTATATTGCCTGATTTCATTCTATGTTATTCGGAATTGACACTAGAAGCGTGCAGATATGCTATCTTTATGAATAATGAGAAATAGATATAAATCTAAGTTTATTTAAAGCAGAGAGAAAGCCATATGCAACCAGGTGCCAATGCTTCTTTAACATCAGTGATATTGCTAGGATTTTGCCATAGAGTTTGAGAGACAACCTTGATAAGCATACTATGTTGACAGAAGGATTTCCGCCCCCCGCCCCCACCCCCTCCATGTAAAGGACAAGAAATTGAGTAGTCTTGTCTATCATCTCAAGATTAATATACCATAATTAATAACATTTATATAAAAAATATGCTTTTAGTCACCTGTAATTTTAAGATGTGTGCACCTTTAGCATGCAGTCATGACTTATTATTGGGCCTTATGAAGAAGTATCACTCAGTATATTATCTCGTCGTTGGCTTGACAATGCGCTTGCTTAGGCTCTTAGGCATTGGGTGCCAGGTCTGGCGCTTAGAAGTGCCCAAAAGTTTGGAAAACATTGACTGTTTCATTATTAAAGATTGAGCACAATGATCTTGCATTGTTCACTTTCTAATGAAATTGAGTCTTAAATATTAAATATACAACCAAATCTTCTCAATTGAGAGATACTTTGTGATGTTGAAGCTATCTTGAGTGATCTTTTTAGAGAAGAAACTCATAAGCTTATTTGCACTCTCTGGCAATAGATATTGCCAAGCTGCTTTTCGTCAATCTTCTTGACCTTAGGCTCATTCCAGTGATGGTTAATGTTATCAATTCAGAGAATTTGGACAGCTTGTGATTTCTTTACGAAAGATTTCTGCATTACTGCAAGAAAGATGGTCATAACATCACTGAGTGCATAAAATGGGCCATAAGAACTAGGCACCAATCGATAGACTGGTTTGGAGGATATTGGCAAGGCCATTTATCACATGGTAAATTAAAACCTTATGACGTAGAATGGCTTGAAGGATTCATCAGATTAGTGGCCAAACTTTAGCTGCATGTGATACAATATATTCAGTTTAGGTGGCATATATTTGTACCAATTATTTTTGAAAATAAATCTTGTGATAAAAATGTCTTCAAGCATCAAAATATTGTGCTAGTGTCAATTTGAACGACCTAAAGCCCGCCAAAATAACTATTGAGCATGAGGACAAAATACATGGATAAATTATATATTGATCCCTTGCTTAAAGAATTAATCTGCTCTACCTGTTTACCTATCTCCTGATAGTAAAATAACATTGTCTCATTCTTCTTTCTATTTTCATATTTATGCTAGATTTTCTCTCTAAAGCTTTTGTTGATGACTAAGATCACATAGTCAATTATATCCGTGGTTGGATGGGGTTGATGATTGATGAGGGGCCGCTTTCTTCCCCGAATATCCAATTCCGAGTTAGTAGCTCAAGCCTGCATAAGTAGAAACTCGTGAGAGGGCGGGGACTGGTTCCCCCGTGGTTCCTCCGACGGTCTAGTCAACTGGTGAGCTTGAGTGGAGAAAGTGAAGAATTGTGTGAGTTCTTGTGTGTAGTGCAGTGTAATTTGCAGATATGACTTAAAGTAGCTTAGATTTGGAACAAGAAGGTTTGAAAAAAGATCAGATTCGGAACCTCTTGTGTGTTAGAATAGTACCTCTATTTATAGTTATGCTGAAAGAGTAGAACCGTCATTGTGGCCGAGCACAGGATGGCGGTGAAGAAGCATGTGCTAGCGGCTGAGTCAGCTCCTGCCCTACAGGTGTTGGCTGGCGACTGGGGGAGAGATCATCTCAGCATTAAACGAGAAGTGATTGGAAGCATGGCAGTGCCTACGTGGTCCGATGAGTCATGAAGGTTATCGGGGCTAGAGGCATGATGAGCCTGCCATGCATTAACTGCGATGCTGACACGTTGTCAGTGGGAGAGGCTCGAGACAGAAGTTGTCCTCTAGCTTCGTCGAAAAGTAACGCCTTTCGAGTCTTCCTCGTGATGCGTCAAGTATCTGGTCGAGTGGGCTCGTTGCGAGTCATTTTCAATAAAAGGGTCGACTAGTACCGCCATTCGAGTCGACATGAAGGGATGTCGACTCGGCGAGTCGGCTAAGCTGGAATCCTTATTGGTCTTGGGTCGCCAATTTGATTGGGGCATTGCATACAAAAGTATACATGTCCTTTGCTGGCAAAGGGTTGCACTTAGGTGATTGAAAACACCATAGCATCTTTCATCTTAAAACAAGAATATGATATTCCTTTTCTATTACATAATAAACGTACAAGTGATAGACAAGGGTTTCCTAGGTGCAATATTGTGTCCAAGTATCTGACACACAAATTTTGCGAAATGGAGCGTGTCCCGGTATCATCACTCTTCTACATAAAAATCCGTTCATGATTTAAAATGTTGGGATAAAAGCTCTGTTGTTGATGACTTAAATGTTGGTTGTTTTTTAAACTTTTAAGGTTTGTGATCTTCTCCGCAGACGTCACTTGTTTGCAGGGCTTTAATAATAATAATAAAGCTCTCTCAAAAAATATTTTAGAATTATTTAACAGTTCCAGCTTCTTGACAAGGATATCTGCTTTTCCTTCACATATGATTGGATTAACCTTTTCTACGGATACAGAACAGAAGAACCTTGTCTCTGCATGTTTGGATGAAGAGCTTTTACTGATTGTCAGTTCCTTTTTAATCCGGCATCCTAGCACTGAGCTACCATCTGGACATGGGAGGCTCACTTACTGAGCTATGGCAGAGAAGAAATGAGAATTATAAAAAACAAAAGAAAGAAAGAAACAATAGGCTTCACTTAAGAATATAGCCATTCATGAATTTTTCTATCAAGAATCATTTCTAACTCTGGTTTTATGGGATGATATGAGAGCAGAGAGCTGAAATAGACAGGATGAGTCATGTTACTGCTTGATTTTTTTTAAACTGCATAACGTAGAAATTTAAGGTTTCACAGGTAACAGCTACTGGCAGTTTCACTTTTGTTGATGCCTTTTCTTGTAACTAGTTTTTTACCTATTACTAACATGCAAGTGATCTGAACTCTCTCTGAATTCTCTTACTGGGTGACAACTGTTGCTAGGTGATCATTTTATCCTCTTTCTGAAACTTTTCAACTGCTGATGTTGTTTATGTGATGTGACTAGTAACTTCATCTGTATAACCTTGCATATATTAGATGGAATCAGTGACCATAGAAGCATCAAAGCTTCTCGACCAGTCCCTTTGGGAAGAGTTCTTTGCCTTTTCTATGGCTAGAATTACTTCTTATAATTGTTTTTTTCCCCCCACAACCCTTGCCCTTTTTACTGATGGACTAGTCTCGTTCAGACTTCTTTTGCTCGTCACATGTCAAGCCAAGGATTTGATACATGGATTGTCGAATTCAGAGGTGCTGGGTTGAGTATGCGGACAGTTGGTCCCAAGGCAATTGATCAGTGTAATGATAAGCCTGTAAGTCCTGATCTAGATTCGGTTGATAAGGAGAACTCGATGAAAATATTGTCTGGGCAGCAGGCGGTTATGAACAGTGCTACAGTCTCAGATACTGAGGTTATTGTTAAGAATGGGAAGAAGGAGTTGACTACTTTGGAAGAGTCACAGTTAGTAATGAAACTAAGTGCTGCCTTTTTGCGGCTGGGTGAAAGGCTTTCAGGCTATCTAAATGAAAGTCAATTAAGGGCTATCTCCGCCAATTTTTTTGATCAAATTTCAAAACTTTTGGAAGATGCTCGGTTATCTGAACGATTTGATGAGATCAGAACAAATATTTCAGGCTTGTTAGAAACAAGGCAAAATTCTGTTATTGCTGGCCAAATAAGAGAACTGAGTCAGCGGCTTGTAAGTATAATTGAGGAAGGTCAACGAACTGTTTCGCCACAGATAGTTGACTTGCAAGGGCGCCTTGCTGCTACCATAGAAGATTTCCAGAAACAACTTGATCTCATTGTTATATACGACTGGGACTTTGATAACTACCTGGAGGAGGATGTACCTGCTGCGGTGAGGTGACATATCCCCTTGCCAGTTTTTGTTAATTTTCTACATTTTGTCTCCATGTCTTTAAGTTGCATCCATACCTGGGAGCAGTTATAGTTGATTCTAATTTGAGCTGCAGATGGACTACATAAAACATCAAAGCAAGGCACCGGATGGAAAGTTACTTGCAATTGGGCATTCCATGGGGGGGATCTTATTGTATGCAATGCTTTCAAAATGCAGTAAGGTTTTTCACTTTTCTATATCCATTCAATATATTGTATTATATATTTGTTTAGAGGCTTTGAATTTTATTTGTCAACCATTATTTCATGTACCCATTTCTTTATAGTTATATTCTATTCTATAGTTGACATTTATATTCTATTTTATTCATGTTCCCATTTTGAGGACTAGTAGGGTGCTTGTTTTTACAACTCATTAGTCCACTCTTTGCATACTGGCAATGCATGATAACTGATACAAAATATTAGATGGTCTGTTAAGGATGTATTTTTGAAGACGTTAATGAAACACTGACAAATCCCTCAAGTCTATGTTATCTTTTCTGTTGAAAAAGGTGTATATGAAATAGAATGTCTATAGCAAAATTTGCCGCATTTCTCTTTTTACTGTATATATGATATATCTTACTGTATATGATATTCAACGGCACACTAGTTGTTGAGATCCACTAAGTGAGTGAAGCCTGAAGTGGAAATCCTGTTTCCCTGAATCATCTTTGGTTGAGAGTTTCTCATATTTACTCGAGCACAACAAAAGCTTAAATGGATTGTATCTTGTCGTAATCATTGTTTCATTACTCTTTCTTTTCTCATTTGCAAGATTTTGAAGGAAATAAATCTGGGTTAGCAGCAGTGGTTACCCTAGCATCCTCTGTTGATTATACGTCATCCAGATCTTCAATGAAGTTATTACTGCCTCTTGTAAGTGGAAGCAGCATATACATATTTTGAGGAAAGGGGATTCAGTAGGCAACCCAAAAAATGGGAATGAATGCTTTGTCAGATCATTTATATTTCTTCTAGGTAGCTAATTTTGGTGACATATTCTGCAGGCTGACCCGGCGCAGGCTCTAAATGTTCCCGTTGTCCCATTAGGAGCTTTATTGGCAGCTGCTTATCCTCTTGCATCTCGCCCTCCATACGTTCTATCGTGGCTTAATCCGCAGATTTCAGCACAGGACATGATGCATCCTGAGTTGTTCGAGAAACTTGTCTTGAACAATTTCTGTAAGTAACGAGCTCTTTTCTCTGCATACTCAATATGAATTATAACTTCTCGGTTTATATTTATTCTACCTTTCTTGATTTTGTATAGAACCATATTAAATATATAGTCTCTATCCTTGTAAGTATGGAATGTAAAGTCATGCTTCTGATTCGCTCTTTATTTGAATATATTTGGATTTTTGTCACTCTTTGTTTAAATCAGTTTGGGTTTTTGTTTGCATATTCTGCACTTTATCAATTTCATACTGATAAACACTAATACTTTTCTTATATCTATCTGTTATATCACACGATGCTCTTATCCATGTTTTGGCCTTTGTAAATCAAATCTGAAGAAAGAAGATTGTAGCCATTGATTTAAAAGATCGGGTTGCCTTTGAATTCATCTACAAATGCAAGCATTGAAGCATAAAAATGGGATAATCTGAAAAGTGATCTAAGCCCCAGTAAATAGATAGTTCTAAGGTAGATCACAACCCTTCTCTGTAAGCTATTCAATATCATTGCACCACCATCAACATCAAAGATTTGGCAGAAGTATTACACCAAACATAACTTATTTATTGCACCAGTAATGGGAATTTGAGGAAACCTTTCAGTACAGCTTTGTTTTGGCTTGCTAATGTCTTGTTCTGGTTTGTTCGCTTTCGGTATTATATCAAGCTTAAGTTTTGGTTATTACAGCTTGTTTTGGCTTGCTAAAGTCTTGTTCTGGTTTGTTCACTTTCGGTATTATATCAAGCTTAAGTTTTGGTTATTGGAACAAATCTAGTCCAAGTCACGATGTCAAGTTGCTCCAAGTATGGGCGTTCTTGGTACCTTGTCCGCTAGATTGGATATTTGTCAGTTGCCTTTGTATTCATCTACATGAAACAAGACCGCAGGAGACGGGCATTATTTGGAAACCTGGCAAGTATTGTCACGTTTATAATTGTGTCAGATTGTTCAACAGGTCCAGCGGTTGCATGTTTATTTTCAGATTATTAGGCTTGTCTTGGTGCTTCTGTGAGTAAACTGACTGATTAAAGACGATACCTATGGTTATCTAAATCAAAATTGTGCATATCAAATACTGTATTTTGTGTTTATGAGTCCCATCATTTTTTTTCTTTCTCTAGGAATTCTCTAACACAAACTTGCCAATACATATATTGTTAATATGTTTTCTGCTTCAGAGTAATGAAATGTCTTGTTCAATTTACTGATATTCTTATTGTGCAGGCACTATCCCGGCTAAGGTTATCCTCCAACTAACAACTGCATTTCGAGAGGGAGGGTTGCGAAATAGGACTAACAATTTATGTTATAAGGACCATCTGCATAAATGTGATGTCCCTGTCCTAGCTCTGGCTGCAGATGAGGACTTAATTTGCCCCCCTGAAGCTGTGTATGGTATAAACCATGATTTACTATGTTCTTCTGTTTAATTTCAGCTGCCTTAACGAGTAAAATTTAACTTCTGATTTGAATTGGCAGAGACTGTGAAACTCTTTCCAGACCATATATTTGAATACAAGGTCTTTGGGAAACCTGATGGACCGCATTATGCTCACTATGATTTGGTTGGAGGACGTATGGTACGTGCTTCATTGACGAAGTCATTTTTCAAAGAAACCTAATTCTTTGTTTAACTACTTTGAAGTCATGAAATGTTTGTTCTGTAAACTATATGCAGAAATGGATAATTTATTAACTCTTTTTTTCTCACTCGCTATCGCTCCCAAACCGGACCTTATTAAAGGCAATTGCTCTACTTTCCTTCCAATAACCTGTTGTTTCTACTCATGTTCTTTGGGCTTTGTTGTGCAGGCAGTTGAGGAAGTGTACCCCTGTATAATAGAGTTCCTCAGTAACCATGACAAGCTGAACTGAGACTATTTCGATTTGAGATATGTGCATACTTTCGTGAGAATTTGATGCTGTTGTAGATTATCTGCAGATCTAGAGGCAGTGATTAGCATGGTCCTTGCATGGCATAGTGAAATGTTTGACAGCTGAAGCTTCAAAATTTTCACAAGTCCTGTGCTATTGTTCTCAGATATGTAAACGTGCAACTAAACTTTTTCCAAGCTAATCCGGTGCGGTACATATCTGTTATTCTGGGATACTGTATCAAAGCTATCCGGTGACTCTGTAACAATGTGTGAGAGGAAGGAACTCTTGCACTTTGGATCTTTGTTGGATCTTATTACGTGTACCCCTGGCTCTCGTATTAAGTACTGGGTACTTTCTTATATGTACCCGAAATCATTTAAACCCACCAATTTGTTTATCTTTGTACTCGTGTTTACAGAAAGTATTTGTGCGGCATATATCAGTGCTTGAATCAAGGTCAGTTAAATTGCTGCTTCAATTGTTTCCTTGTCCGCGAACTTTCTTTCCAAAACCTTTGATTATGCTCCTGGGAACTCATTAGTTCGTTGAGCCTTCCCCTGACCCGTTGGTTTTCTTCCTTGAGTTGCATAATTCCCATATTTGGTGAATTCACGACGGATGAAAAGTGTAAAAACAAACAAGCAAGCAAACAATTTGGATCCTGTTATTCATTTAAATCGACTCGTTCAAAATATAGCCACCATCTAACCCTTGTAAGTTGCGTTCGTTTTTTTTTGACTTTCCATAAAAATTGATCATAATCGTCCACTAAATACTAAGCGGTTGCAACTGAGAAAGTGAAATCTTTGTTATCTATCTGCAATGAGTAGTAGTAGTCACAATTATAGGTTTTTGGTGCCTAAAACAGGTTTTGTTTTTACTCCCAACTTTTACTTGACATGTTCACTCGCGTAATTAATGTCTTTACTCCAGAATTGCTTGACTTGGTTTTTGAACATAGATACTATTGGAAGAGGGTCTCACAACTGCTGATGAAACTTTGATTTTAAGAAAACAAGAATCAAATATAAATAATCAACAAGACGTATTCAGTCGGTGTTTGTTTAGTTCACCTATTTTATAGAAAATTTTTAAAAAAACACCTCCCAATAGCACTCGGTTTTGAAAATATTTATAAAAACCGACCTGTTTTCAGCCAGGGGCTGAAAACAGGTCGGTTTTTGAAAAAAAATTTTCCAAACTTCACGGGAGTTCAACTCCCGTGAAGTTTTTCTCATAACAAAACTTCACGGGAGTTGAACTCCCGTGAAGTTTGGGAAAAAAATTTTCAAAAACCGACCCAATTTCAACCAACTGGGTCGGTTTTTATAAATAATAGTGAAATGGGTCGTTTTTTGCAATTAAAAACCCAAAAGGGTTGGTTTTGAAAATTTGTCCTTTAAAATTACCTCCATTCTTGTATGAGTTTTACTTTTCCATAAAGTTTTCTTATCCATCTAAACAAAAGAAAAAAAAAGTAAACAACCAACTTTTTACAAAGTTAGAAACTCATTTTCATGTTTTAAATCAAACAAAAAAATAGCAACAAACAAGAAAAGTACTACTTTTTGAGTTCTATAAACTTCTCCTACAAATTTTAGAACTACAAGGAAATTAATTTCTTGACACTTTTCCTTTACCTTATTTTTTTAAAAGAGAATTCGAACCAAACAGAAACAGCCCCTTAGGCACCAAAAACCAAGAAAAAGAAGAAGAAAACTCCACCGTCAGTCCTAATGTATTCAACTTACACCAAACTAAAACCTTGACACTGCATGCAGAAATGAAGGCAACACGAATCATTCTACATACATGCTATTATTATTACTAACATCTTCATCGCAAAACACTTGGGACTCTGAGAAAACCCTGGTTTATTGAGAAATCAGAGTCAGGGGAGGCTCAACAAATGACAAGACAAGGAAACAATGCATTACAAAATTTCAGATTTAGAATTAAAATTTTGCCACATATGTATAGTATGTGTATTCCATTTGATCTTTCCCCTCTTTTATCACAGATCCAGACTATTATTACATGGGAAAATTTTCCTCTCTGGACTAACGTAATGCCTAAGGAATCATCCTTCAGGATATAAATATGCTCATCAGGTATACTAAGAGATACAGATGCTAAAAGCCAAAAAAGCAACACGGGTTAAAACCCTTCTGAAAGAATCAAATATGTTTATTTTTCTTTAAATGACTCTACTTTGGAGAAGATACTTTGACGAGAGAAAGAATACATTTAGCAATGTCTGCAGAAGCATTGGGCCGTGCAGCTCTCAGCGCTTTCTCAGACATCTCCGCCATTAGATCCTCGTTTCCTGTTATATATATATGCAAAATATAAGTAATAGCCTTACAGAAAAGGTACATTAACGAGCATGGCATGCAATATCTCTGAAATTGAAAGGAAAGTTATAAAGACAACTATAAGTCCCACAACGCTTTATGGATCAGAATGTTGGACAACTAAGAACACAAATGAAAGATGGGTGTAGCATAAATATAGCAGTTCTAGCAAAATATCTTTCGATGTTTCTACATCGGAGTTGACACTGAAGAAAGAAGAGTTAAAATCAATGACTACTGGGCTAATATTTCATCATGACTTAGCATTATAAGGTTGGTCTTGGGTCTGGTATCAAACCTCCCAGGAACGGCGAAAGTGGTAATACGGCTGTAGTCCAACATCAAACATCAGTAAATATGGCCCCCTCCTTGTCTTCTCTCTTCCA